TATATTGTGAATAGCTGCATGTCCAAGTAATGATCCTTTCAGGAGCCCCCTAGTTATAGTCTGCTAATTTAAGAATGACCTGAGAATGTCTGTCAGACAAACCTTAATCCATGCAAATAAATGTCTGTTATCCTATGTGCTTTAATTTTGCTAACCAACCTCCTGTGTGGGACCCTATCAAAAGCCTTCTGAAGATCCAAGTGCAGTGCGTTCACCAATAACTATCAATTTTGTTAGTAATATCCTTAAAATACTCCCAACAAGTTTGTCAAAGAATTTTTTTCCATTCACATATCCATGTTAACTCTGCCCAGTCAGATTTTTATCTGTCTCCATTTATATATGGATAGGTTCTAGCATTATCCTCATGTCTGATGTAAGTCTCACAGGTCTGTAATTCCCTGTTTTCTTGATTAGTGCTTTCACAAATAGTGGGATGACATTTGCTATCTTCCAGTATGTAGGAATCATTCCAGAATCTATGGAATTTTGGAAAATAATCACTATTGAGATAATGACTATCTCTATAGCCACCTCCTTCAACACGCTGGGATATAGACCAACAGGTCCCTCAGCCTGAGGAAGGGTCACTGGACCTGAAACGTTAACTCAATTTTCTCCTTTACAGATGCTGCCAAACCTGCTGAGCTTTTCCAACAACTTTGTTTTTGTAATGGACCCATGTTCACCTTTATTCAAGTGTTTTCTTCTTATGCATATTTAGAGGCTTTTTCAATCTACTTTTTATACTTTATTTTGCTAGATTATGTTCATTTTCTGTTTTTCCTTTCATTATCAGTTTCTTAGTCCTCCCTTGCTGTATACCTTAAACTTCCCAATCATCCTGTATATTATTATTGCTGGCAACTTTGTAAACCTTATCTTTTAAACTTAGGTGACTCAACTGCATTGATGGTATAAGTCTTTGCACCTTAGGAAATGTATAGTCACTGTAAACCATGTAATATATTTTTAAAGATATCCGTTGCCTGTGTACAGTCAGGCTTTTTGATGCATTTTTCTTATACAGCTCAGCCAATTTGTGCCTCATGCTTTTAAAATTCCATTACTCAAATTTAACCCCCTTTAATCAGATAGAATTTTCCATTATGTTTAGAAATGAGATGGTTCTATCATGTTACCCATCCCTAAAGGTTCTTTTATAACAAGATTATTAATTAGCCATGTTTCATTATGTAACAGTAGATCTAAAATTTTCTGCCCCGTAGTCAGCTACTCACTATAATGCTCCAGAAAACAATCCCTAACACATTCCAGAAAGTTCGCCTTCACACATTTAGTGCTAAGTTGGTTTACCTAGTCAATATGCAGTTTAAGGTCACCCATGATTACTGTGTTGCCCTTGTTTCAAGTTTCTCATCTCATGATCCATACCATGCTCCATGCTACCACTGCTATTTAGTGGCCCATAAATAACTCCAGCCAACATCTCCAGCCCCTTGCTGTTTCTGAATTCCACCCAAAGAGATTCACTCATTCTTCTGATCTAAGATCTTCCTTTATCAATGTACTGACCCTATTTCATATTATCAACGCAACTCCACCCCCTTTTCCTTTTCGATCACCATTTCTAAATGTCAAATGTTCCTGTATATTTAGTTCCGTTCTGGTCACCATTCAGCTATGTTTCTGTAATGGCAATTAGATCATACTTATGTATCTTTCTCTGTGCCTTTATATCATCTATCTTGTAGCGTAGAGTGCCCTTAACTTTGTCTTTTTGACATCATTTGCATTCAAGACATTCTTAATGTTTGTTTGGCTTTGTTTCTCCAATCTTTTCTGTTCTCCCTAGCATCTTTTCTACTTCCTAGTAGCAAGTTTACTTCCTTCTAAATTGAGTTAACCCCCTCAGGTTCTCATTGCTATGTCATGCTACTTTAAACCCACCTAAAAACGACACTAAGCCAATCTCCCTGTGAGGATATCAGTCCAAGTCCTGCTAAGATGTAACCTCTCCAACTTTTACAGGTCCCACCAGAACTGGTCCTAATGCCTCAGAAATCTGATGCCTGATAGAGTAGTGGACAATGAAATGGGGCAGATCAACTGTCATAAACCAAAGCACCAGAAATGATGATGGCAAAAGCAACCCTGTCATTCCTGAAATGTCCTCCTTCCTAACGTATGGGGGTTTGTGCAAGAATTGCAAGAGTGTAGTGATACTCATGGAATCATACCTTATAGACAATGTCCCAAACACCATTCTCACTAATCATGCCCCAAGGTTACTGTCCGCATCATTGCTCAATAGTCAGCTCAATACTTGACCCATTCAAATAGTGCAGCAGCCTGTGTCCATATGTATGAAATTGGACAAAATCTGAGCAAGTAATATTTGTACCACAAGTGTCAGGCAATGACCATTGTTATCAAGGAGTAAGAACCTAACCATCACTCCTTGATGTTCCGTAGTATTATTATCACTGAATCCCCATCTATCAAAACAGAGTTACCACTGCCCAAAAACTAAACTGGACCAGCCATGTAAATACATTGGCTGCAAGAGTAGATCAGAGATTAGGAATTCTGTAGTGAACAACTCACTTCCTATCTCTGTAAAACCTGTCCACTATCTACAAGGTACCAGTCAGGTGTGTGTGAATAATTCCCACTTGACCAGATAGATGCATGTCCAGAATCACTCAAGAAGCTTGACTCCATGCACAACAAAGCATCCTGCTTCATTGATGCCTTATCCATGACCTTCAACATTTGTTCTCTTTACCAACATGGAGTAGCACCAGTTTGTACCATCTACAAGATGCATACAACAATACACCAAGGCTTATTCAACAGAATGTGCCACAAACCTTGGACCTCTAATACCCAAAAGAACAAAGGCAGCACGTACTTGGAAATATGACAATCTGCAAGTTGCCCTCCAAGCCGCACACCTTTCTGAATTGGAGGTATATCACTGTTCTTTAATTGACACTAAGCCAAAAACCCTATACCTTGAGGATGGAGCACTTCAAAAAGGTGGTTCACCGCCATCTACTCCAGTGTAATTAGGAATAGGCAGTAAATGCTGCTGAGCCAATAATGTCCATATCCATGAATGTTCTGAAAATAAATGAGGGGCTCGTGGCATATGCATAGCCTGAAATCCTAACAAAGCCATGTGCTCAGTCTGCCTGCTTTTCTTTGGAAGTAGAGAATGAACTGTAAAAGCAAAATACTGCCAATACTGGAGTTCTTAAATAAAATCAAATTGCTGGAGAAATTTAGCAGATCTGGAGAGGTCCACATTTCATTTCAAAGCCTGTGACCCTTTGGAATGAGACATAATTAGCTGTTTTGGAGTAGACAGTGCAAGTGACCTCTCATATGCAACTGTGGATTGCAACTTGTGAAATGTTGCAAGTATCTCCATGTTTCAATCCTAAAGGAACCAAATGTATAAAAGTTCACCTCCCAGTCACCTTCACAGCTATTGACAATCTGATCATTGTTTGCTCTAAGGCTGCAGTTGTGGTTGCAGCAGATAGGTAATTTTAGTGGGCACATCCTTACAAGTGTTGACCTGAATAACATGGCTCCTTTTTGAGGTACAGGTAGGAGAATTTATCACTGAACATCCTGGAGAGAGATGGCATCCTGCTGAGACTTTCATCATTTGCTCCTTGTCCTGTAGCTTGTCCTACATTGTATGGCCTCTGTTAATTCTTCTCCCAATTGTGCTGATATCAACTTCTGCATTAATGACTGGGATTAAGTAGTTTGTGCAGTAATGTCACCAGACGCTCCTCAGTAACTGCCTGTCACTTCTTGCAAACCTTTGCAACAGTGCAACATTTGTATAAACCACCATTTAGAGAATCATTGCAACACAGCGAAGGAATCTAGCAACACAAACCTACATGTAGTTGATGGTCTAAACAAAAACCGAAGTTGCTGGAAAAGGTCTGGCAGCATCTGCGAAGAAAAAGTCAGAGCTAACATTTTGGGTCTGGTGACCCTTCCTCAGAACAGCCAAGGTACTTTACATGGCTGGTCCACTTTAGTTTCAGGGCAGTGGTAACTCAAGATGTTGATAGAGGGGGATTCGGTGATATTAATACCATGGAACATCAAGGAGTGATTGTTAGGTCCTTGCTCATTGATAATAATGGTCATTGCCTGACACTTATGTGGTGCAAATATTTGCCCAGATTTTGTCCAATTTGGTACATACAGACACAGGCTGCTGCACTATTTGAATGGGTCACATTTTGAGCCGAATATTGAGCAGTGAATCGGACAGTAACCTTGGGGTGTTCTGAGGAAGGGTCACCGGACCCGAAACATTAACTCTGATTTTTTTTTTTCTTCACAGATGCTGCCAGACCTGCTGAGCTTTTCCGGCAGCTCCTGTTTTTGTTCCTGATTCACAGCATCTGCAGTTCTTTTGGTTTTTATGTAGTTGATGGTCTGTTTAGATAGTGCTGATATGGAGGCCATTCCCACTGCTAAACGTGTATTCAGCTGTGCAACTTTGGGATAGTATTTGTTGGAGTGTATGGCTCCAAAATGGAGCCACTTGTGTCAAATGACCAAATACATCTATGCACCATGGATGCCATTTTCAAGTTCTAACGATATTTGCAGTGTGAGAGGAATTGCCTTGTTAGCACCAACGTGTTCAGACATCAAAATCCAGGAGAGAATGTGGCAATGGCATGTTCTTCAAATTAGTTAATCTCTTTTCTATACCTATTACAATATTTAACTACTTTCATTGATAGTCTATGTCCAAAAACAACAAATACAAAATAATTCTGAATAGCTACTGATTCTGTTGAATAAAATTGCTGACTTTGGTTTTGATTGGTGATTAACTCCTAGTTTAGTGGAGAAAATGGGTGTCTTAATTTGCTCTTTAAAATGTAATTAAATATTAAAGTTCAGATTTAGCTTATTTGCAAATTGATCCTGTTAACTGTAATTTTAATCATTCTGATTTGACTTGTTTCTTTGTCTTACTTGTTTCCTCACAGATGTTTCGGCAACTGAATTACCTGAACAGTCAGGTAAACGAGTATGCAAGGTAAGACATGTAGAGATGGATGAAACCAAAAGAGAAGAAAGCTCACTGAAAGAGAGCAAGGACAAGTCGATAGATTCTAGCTGTCAGTCTGCCTCATCAGGTTTGGATAGGGGAAGCTTGCAACAGCAAGAAGAAACACCTTGCCAAAGTACGGAAAGTAATGAGAACTGCAACAAAGTTACTGAATCCTCGCAGCAGTCTGAACCAGTAAAATTGAGTAATCAGGCTGAGTCTACTAAAATATTTACCAGTCGGGAAACTGATGACAGTGATGATGATCGTATCTTAGTTCCATCTTCAAGGTTTAGATCAGCTCCAGGACATAGGTAAGATATACGCTATTTTAAGCTAGTTGCTAATGGAATTGTTTATGGATTGTTTATTTAAAACAATAGTTTGGGTTGCCTTTAAGATTAATACAATACAAAAATTGGTCATTTATTCTCAATTAAAATCAAACTTCAAAATGTCCTGCCTTATGGTTTTCACTGTTATGAGTCAAGGTTGTCTGTGCTAACCAAGTTGGTAGTCTGGCGTACTGACCTCTATACTGCAGAGGCTGAGTGCCAGCTCTCAGATACCTCCTCCTATCTTCTCCTGGACCGTGACCCCACCATGACGCATCAGGCCATTGTATTTATTACAGTAACTGATCTTATTTCATCTGGTGACCCCCTGTCCCATCTCCCACCCACTGCTTCCAAGCTGTTAGCCTGCAGCCCTGCATAGCTCGTTTCCACCTCCTTCTGAAAATCCACAAACAGGACTGTCTGGGCAGACCTATTGTTTCAGCCTGCTCCTGCCCCACAGAACTCATCTCTTCCTACCTTGACTTGGTCTTCTCTCCCCTGGTCCAAACCCTACCCACGTACATCCATGATTCCTCTGATGCTCTATGAAACCAAAATTTCCAGTTTGCAGGTTCCAGCTGCCACCTCTTTACCATGGGCGTGCAAACCCTTTTCATGTCCGTTCCCTACCAGGAGCGTCTTAGGGCTGTCTGCTTCTTTCTGGAGCAAAGATCTGAACCATTCCCATCCTCACCAGCCTCCTCCGTTTGGTCGAGCTTGTCCTCACCCTCAACAACTTTTTTAACTCTTCTCATTTTCTTCAGGTCAGAAGGGTGGCCATGGGTACCCGCATGGGCCCCAGATATGCCTATCTCTACATGGGGTACGTGGAACATACCTTATGTCAGTCCTATTCCAGCCCCACTCACAATTCTTATTCCGATACTTCGATGATATCATCGGTGCTGCTTCCCTGTCTCATCCGGAATTGGAAAAGTTCATCGATTTCACTTCCAATTTCCACCTTGCCCTCACTTTCACCTGGTCTATCTCTGACTCCTGCCTACCCTTCATCGACATCTCAGTTTCCATTTCTGGGGATAGTCTGGCAACTAATATCCACTATAAAGCTACTGACTCCCACACCTACATGGACTATACATCTTCACACCCTACTTCCTGTAAAGACTCTATCCCATTCTCTCAATTCCTCCGTCTCTGTCGCAAATGTTCAGATGAGGCCAACTTCGACAAGGGAGCCTCTGAAATGTCCATCTTCTTCCTCAACTGAGGATTCCCCAGCACCATTGTCAGCTGGGCCCTCAGCCGGGTCCGACCCATCTCCCGCACTTCCTCCCTCAGCCCTTCCCTCCCACAACAGCGATAGGGTTCCCCTTGTCTTTACCTACCATCCCACCAGCATCCACATCCAGAAGATCATCAGATGCCATTTCGCCACCTCCAGCGTGATGCCATCACCAGACACTTGTTCTGTTCCCCTCCCTTGTCTGCCTTCTGCAGGGACCATTCACTCCAGGGCACCCTGGTCCACTCTTCCTTCACCTCCAACATCCCCTCCATAGCCTTACGGCACCTTCCTCTGCAACCGGTGAAGGTGCAACACCTGCCTGTTTACCTGCTCCCTCCCCACTATCCAAGGGCCCAAACATACCTTCCAGGTGAAGCAACACTTCACCTGCACTTCCTAGAATCTAGTCTACTGCATTCGCTGCTCACAATGCGGTCTCCTCTACATTGGGGAAATGAAGCGTAGACTGGGTAACCGCTTTGCAGAACATCTACATTCTGCTCGCAAAAAAGACCCTGAGCTACCTGTTGCCTGCCACTTTAACATACCATCCTGTTCCCTGGCCAACATCTCTGTCTGGATTTCTGCAGTGTTCCAGTGAAGCTCAACGCAAACTGGAAGAACAACACTTCGTTTTCTGCTTGGGGATCCTGCAGCCTTCTGGACTCAATATCGAGTTCAATAATTTTAGGGCTTAAACTCTCCCATGTTCTAGCCCCCTACCCCACACACCAGGCCTTGTTACCACATAGCCTGCCATTGCACACCACCTGTTATTTGTCACTTAAAGTCCCCGTTAACAACTATTCACCCTCCTAGCCAGATCGTTATCAACTCCTTTGTCTATCCAACTGCTCTTCTCTCTCTTCGGACTCTATCCTGTCGTTTACTCCCTACCTCCCCCAATTTCTGCACATAAACCGACGTTTTCCCAGCTACCATCAGTTCAAAGGAAAGGTCACTGGACCCGAAACGTTAACTCTGATGTTTTTCTTCACAGATGCTGCCAGACCTGCTGAGCTTCCAGCAACGTCTGTTTTTGTTGTTGTTGGTAGAATTTCCATTTTTGTTGCAACAGCATTGTTTGCAAGTTTGCATTATTTTGCTCAATCAGATATTGTAAGAGCATAAAAGGAGGCCATTTGGCGTTTCAAATATGCCTGTCTGCAAGAGCAGCTCATCCGTCTACCCTGCCTAATCAGTTAGCCCCGACCATTTTTTTCTCATTAGATAACGTTCCAATACCCTCGTGAAAATCATGATTGAATTTTCTTCCACCGCATTCTGGAGCAGATTCAAACAAATCAATTTGTAAGCAGCATTTTTTCCTTATGTAGCCATTGGTCCTTCTGCCATTTGCACTCTGGTTTTTGACCCTACCACTAATAGGAATAGTTTCTCCCTATCTATTCTTTTAGACCCATGAAGATTTTGAACTATGTTTTTTCCAAGGGGAACACCTTCATTAATCTATCCTTGTGGATTATTCCTCAACCCTGAAGCCATTTTCAAAAATCTTTTCTGCACTTTTTGATTCACATTCTTCTGAATGCACCCAGAATTAGACAAAATACTCCATTTGAGTCTGAACCAGTTCTATAAAGGTTCACCATAATCTTTTTTGTATTTGATGCCTTTATATATGATGTTCAGGTTCCTGTATGCCTTTTTGTTTCCAAATTGCCATGCTTCATTCACTATTTTTTGCACTTTGCACTGAACTACCCAGGTCTCTCTGCCCTTGCACTTCAATTAAAATTCTTTTGTTTTGTTTGCTTTCTTTGTTCTTCATATTAAAATATATCATATCACGTACGTTTGTATTGTTTCTTTTACCATGTGTCTGCCATTTCCACCAGCTTTTCAATGTCCACATGAAGACTGCCTTTGTCCTCAAAGTTCACAATATATCCAACCTTTGTGTCTTGTGTACTTAACTCTGTAAATTAGTATACACTGTGAAAAGTGGTGGAATACCCCATCATATCATCTTCCTCCAGTCTGGAAAATAACTGTTTCCTGCCATTCAGCCAACTTCATACCCATGCTTCCACTGTCACATTTATTCCATGGATTTAAATTCATTGACAAGACTGATATGTGCTTCTTTATCAGTAAATTTTTGCAAGTTGATGTACATCTCAACCTCATTATACTAAACAAATCACTCTACCCCATCAAAGAAATCTCAAGCAATGTAGTTTAAAAAAAAAATTTGGCTGTCACAAATCCATGCTAGCTTTCCTTGATTAATCCACATTCGTACAATTGCATGTTAGTTTTACCTGAGATTATCATTTCCAAAAGTTTTCCCACCACTGACATTAAACTGACAGGTCTATAATTGCTGGGCCTTCTGTTTCACCGTTTCTTTTTGAATAATATGTAAATAATCTTTACAAATCTTCAATTTTCTGTCATTATCTTGCATAAAGGAACATTGGAAGATTATAACAAGTGCCTCTATGATTTCCACCTTTCACTTTCTTCAGTGTCCTTGGAAGCATCCAATGTGATCTGTGGCTTATTAAGCCAGCCTTTGAAATACCTCTTGTTAACTGTTTAGCTCATCCTGTGTTTTAGTTATCTCGTTTTTCACTGATTTTGGTTGTGTTGTCTTTCTTGAAGACAGGGACAAAAAAACTCATTTAGGACCTTAGCCCTGCCATCATAGAAGACGTTGAATTCCTTTTCACGTTATCTGCCTTTCTCTCCAAAATACTCTTGTTTGCCTGTTTATTTTTGCTTCCCCTCTTTTTGTAGTCAGCCTGATTCTCATTTGTGTTTTCATCCTGACATTTATGTTATGCACCCTTTTTCTTCTCCATCTTAATTCTATCGCTTTCGGTATCCAGGGAGCGCTGACTTTCCTTGTCCTACCTTTCCCCTTGATTGAAATATACCATGTCTGTACCCAGCCGCCTCTTTAAAGGCAGCAGATTATTGCATTACAATTCTGCAGTGCAATCTTTGATTCCATATTGCTTTGGCTGGATCCTTTCTCACCCATTTTGAAAATGGCCCTGCTCTAATTACAATGATTGTTACTCTGGATTGCTGTGTTCTTTCCCATTGCTAACATGAACCTTATGATACTTTTATCCATTTCTTAAATAACAATTGCTTCACTTAATTCACATCATCCCTTAGAACCAAATTCTTTATGACTCTTTCCACATTGGAAACATTTGTTTAGAAAATTTCTCTGAACCCACTTTAGAAATTCTATCCCTTATCTGGACTGTATGTTAACACTGCAAACCCCTTGTATCCAAAAATATTTATTCCCCCAGTCCTGTCAATTTCTTGAACCTCTATTTTGAGATCTCCATTATTACCATAATGTTGTATTCACTACCTGGCACCCTACGTCCGAACATCATCGGGTTCATTTTAAACACTCCATGCATTCACACACATGTACAGTAAAGTCAATTTAGGCTTCATTATAATCTTTATTTCTGACCTCCCCAAATACCTTATTTGTATTAGTAGTAATACTTCGTACTATCTCTCTGGTTCCTTGATAACCTTGTTAACCTTGTTACCTTCTAGTTCTCAGACCTCTACCAAGTTAGTTTAAACCCTCTTTAACAGCATTAGTAAACTGACTCACGTGGAGCTACTATTTTCTAAATAATTTACAAGCCTTTGTCTTTGAATGTGCTACATAAAAATGTTAAATATGCCTTTTATTAAGTTTTATCAATCAATATTAGTAAGGACT